CTGGAGAATAGCGGAAAACAGGGCCAGAGCGGGGACAGGACAAGCATATATATATATATATGTACGTTTTGGTTGGTGGCGGTGCGCGAGGCGGCGGGTGGGGTGAAACTTTCAGGGGTGAAACACATGCAACCCAGTGAAAAGATGTGACACAAAGTTAGACCTCGAAGAACATCGGAGCAATCACCGAAATCATTGGAACATGTGTTGTGTCAGAACTTGGAATCCCCAAATCAAGCAATTAGGTTCATATTATATATATATATACACATTGGTTCCATTTGCCTGCGTTGAACTCCCTTCTCCAAGCCGTGGGGTGTCAAAGAGGAGAGGTTGGACCCCAAGAACAAATAAGCAAATGTTTTTGTCTCCACTCCACAGAAGCAGGCGCATCTTGCCTCAGAACCGAACCCCCCATTTTTGCAAAATACCCAATCACTTGCGACTTATATAACAAGGTTGGATACTTTGGTTATATAGTCCCTTACAAGTCCAGGTAACCGGCCTGGCGTTTTTCACCAAGACTCTGACGTCTACCTCATGTCTCGTGCTGGTTTTGCCATAACCCCCTCACCGGGATCCATTCCTTCATCAAGTCCAGCCTCGGCGACTTGCTCAGGGGTGTGTTTGCTCAGGGGTTTGCAACACTGGCGAGCTGGAAGGTCCCCATGGTCAAAGATGCAACAACGACTGACCCTCTGAACAAGAATCAAAGCTGTGCTTTTTGACTTTATTTCCCAGGCGTTGTGTGGTTGGTCTGCAGATCTTTTGCATGACACCAATCAGCTGACATGGGCGTGCAAATATCAACATACCACAAGTTCAGGTTGGGACTCTCTCTTCCTTTTTTGTATTCATTCGGCCCTGCCCTCAGAGCTCCCGGCAAACCAATGCCAACGACCATTGTTAGACAAATGCTTACCAGGACCCTCTAAGGCCCTTTTTGGGGTTTCTATTGATAGCAGTGGGTCCGGGTATAAATCATTGTTTGGGAACTGAGCCAAGATTCTTGAGGGGTGTACAGTTTCTGCTCAAACCTTGCCCTACTTCAGGTGTGGTGACACAGCCTCCTGCTGCTACCGTCGGAGCGGTGGGTGGTCAATGGTTGGAGGGGATCTGGATTGGATGACCTGGGATATGAGATATACTCTCCCTTCAACAATAATGGACAATAACTAGGGTCATTGGAAGACCATTTTCGGCTACAAAGCAGTTGTTTTCTCACTTCCATGTTTTTTTGGGGTGGGTGGTGCTTCTACTGATGCTCATACGAAGTGAATAGGACTCTGGGTTCAAGTGGCGCAGGATCAGCCAACCCAGGGTCAGACAGGTTCTGTGCCTGAGACGGTTTTCAGTGGGGGGAGGATCTGTCATCGAGATGTCTTGAACTGGCACTTGCCGGCCTAGGGCTCCATATCCTCAGGTTCGGTGGGCACAGACCCCCCTAAACCACCCACCCCTGTCCCACCTTCGAAATGGAGGGGGTGACCAGGAGTCCACAGGAACATAGGAATCACCCAGACAGGGAGGCTCAACTGTCAACCCAAAGGTCCATGGTTTTGAGAGAGGTCTTTGCAGGTTCTTGCTGCTGGGAGGCGTTTGTTGGGTCCTGGTCGTTTCTGCAAGGGAGTATGTTTCTCACAAGCTTCTTCATTGTTTTCTTATAACATCGTGCCATTCACAATGCCATATTTAGAGTGCCTGCAGCCGACAGCCATCTACAGATATCTACAGCCGACAGGTTCATGAATGCATGTCTTGCCGGTCACTGGCCTCCAAAAGCCGGGGAGACATCCAGCAGACTGAAAAATCTCATCGTGGTGCATGTGTTGGCAACCAAGAGATATCTCGACCTCATCCTAAGGGATTTCCAATCGGCGACGCTTTCCATTCCTCCGGAATCTTCAGCCAGGACAAGCGAAAACAAACATGGATGCTCCATGCTACTAGGTCCTAGATGGTCCTAGTATGCGGTACTAGAAGTAGTGCCTTTTCATAAGCTTCAGCACGAGCTACCTGCCCCCAGGCCCCCCCAGACGTGACCGCCTCCACTTCAGGAGCCCCGGGGACGGCGTCTGCCCGAGCAGGACCGGAGCCGGGGCGAGGCGAAGGCAGCGGAGCCGAGCAGCGCAGTTCGAAGCAGCGCGGCTGTGGTCCTGCGGTCCTGTTCAGGGAGAGGTGCTGAACCGGCTGAAGAGTGGAAGAGTGGAGGGAACTGATCGAAAGGATCCGGGGTCAAAGGGTACCCCACGACTAATGGGACTGGCATGGCATATGCCATGCCGACCTCCAAAACCACCCCAACTGATCGGCATATATGACAGACATGGAGTGTCTGGGGTATACCTTGAGTTCGTATGGATCACGACGCAGCTTCTCGCGGCGGTGCTTGGGGGGTGTACTGCATCAAGTACACATAGGCGGTGGAAGTCGGTGAAGCTTTCGACATCTTTCGACAAGATACGGTACTGTAGCCCAGACACTCCATGTCTGTCATATATATGCCGATCAGTTGGGGTGGTTTTGGGGGTCAATGCAGGCTACATATGGCAGTCCCCTGGAGTGTCTGGGTAATGCATCAACTTGGTCGTCAAGCAAAAAAAAACTCGGAAACGTGAACCTTGCGCGAGTCCCTCGTGAGAGCTGAGCAGTTTTGGTGAGCAACGAAACAACGCAACGTGCGATCCGACACTTCAAAGATGAAGATAGAAGAAACATGAAGAAACACTGTATATGTATATATATATATATTATATATGTATAATATATAATAATATATATATATATGGTGATATGGGCTGCGTATGATTTTCTCCGAGGACAGGCCGAGATTCAGGAGATTTCTTGCTGAACATCCGAACGTTTGTGTCATGTGTTCACCTCGCTTTTGGATGTTTGGGGCGGATGTCAGATGCCGATGGCACTTGACCTATCCACAGAGAGAATTTGGAGGGAAAGACCATCTGGACCACTTGACCTACCATGATCTCCAGTGTCTAACTCCCCACTGCGTCAGCTGGTTCCAGGCACGAAGCTTCACTGATTTCTATCCACGAAGCAGAGACACACTGCAAAGGCTTTCAGCTTTGGGGCCAGCTTGCTGTATGAAAAGCATCAGAACCAGTTCAGAACCCATCTCGGAAATGGACTTTTGGTTCCAGACTCGGTCTTGGTTGCAGTCCAATAGCTCCCCAGCTCTATCGGAAGGAGCGTGGCAGCACCCCTTCTTGACCCACTAAAAAAACCTTCCACATCTATTGTTGGAGCCTGGCTCGATCAATCCGGAGAATGTTCAAGCAAAAGGCACAGCATCGCAGAGCAGCTTTTCTTCTTCCGACTGGACCAGCCACCCCTGAACTGGCAACATCTGGCAACACACTAATCCTGGTTTTGCTGATTAGGGCGATCGATATCTTTGCTTCTAGGGAAAGCCGCAAGTTCAAGCAGCCGGACATACCAGCGACAGCCAACCGTCCACCGTCCCCAGGAGTTGCCGGGGCCTCGCCCCCCCGAAGCAGTGTCAGCAGTGTGGGCAGCGGCACAGTAGGCGAGAAGCGGCGGAATCCGTAGGGCGAGTGCAGCAGTGCAGCTGGTGCCGGCTTTTTTGGAAAGGATTGATAGGATTGAACGTGATGAAAATATGGTTGAACTGGCCACAAGTACCTTAAAGCCTTGGACATAGAGCCAGTGGAAACTTCATGACCAGAAAGCTGCATGCTCTCGACTTCGGCCCCGACCTCGATGGCAAGATGAAGTGAGACAGTGCTTATCAACAGATGCGTGATGGTCAGACTGTTAGACCCCCTGAGCCTAAGTAAGGAACCAATAATTCATGGTCAATGTCCCATGTTTCCCTATAGTACATGGTGGCCCAGAACTTTCCCAGAGCCAGTGCTCAGCGCTCAACATCTCCGGTGCTCAGTGAATTCAGGCTCCAAGTTAAAAGATGATCAAGTAAAGACCGTCAAGAAGATGATGCATGATCTACTTCAATCTACTTCTACTTCGTAATTCTGGAAATATATTATCCCATCAAGTCATCCATCACACTATACTCGACTGAGGGGAGCCGTACCCCCCCGTGTACCCCGTTCTGGAACCTTCTCAACAGGGATGCCCAAACAGCGAGGTGGTCGGTCCCCAAGCCTAGCGACCACCGGGCTCATGTGGTTGTCCCCTAGGGCGTTGGTCGGTCGGGCGACCCGTCCCGCTCCTCCGCCCCGGTTCAGGTGCTCAGAGCCTTGTTCAGGTGCTTGGAGAGGCGAAGGCAAAGGGAACATGGGATCAATTGGAATGAGGCGAAGGCAAAGGGGATCAGGTGGTGGAAATCATACGGAGGTTTGTGGGATTTGGTGTTCCGGACATGTCTCCATTGCAGATGTCACTGGTAAGATGTCTGGTGTTTGACTGTGGCACAGCACTTGCTTATGCGGCATGTGCTATCAATTCGAAGTCCATATACAGTTATATATACATACTCGTAATTATATAGATCTCAGTAACGAATACATCAATTAGATGCTTCATTACATTTCATTGCCTTGAAGAAAACACCAGAGCTTCTCACTTCATTTGCCGCCGACCCCCAGAGCAGAGCAGCTCACCCCTCCGTCCCGAAGTCCGTACCCGGCCTGGTGTTTCTCCGTTTCACGAGGGTTGGGGGTGCGCTGATGCGACGAAGATGGATTTCATGGGATGAAACTGGTCGGATGATGTCGGATGGCCCATGATGGCCCTAAACAATTTGAAGTTAGGCATCTTGTGTGTGTGCGCAACAGGGATGCTGAAAAGGACAAGAGAATGGCAGCACTGGAAATGCATTAAAGACCACAAAAAGTATATGAAAGTCAGAAAGGAGAGCCAGCTGGAGAGCAAAGGTGCAAAGTTGACATGAAAAGATCGTGCTAG